GCTAGCTTGAAGTACTTGTCCGTTAGGCCAGTCTTGGAGAATGAGGCTTTAGAGGACATGTCATCCATACGTGTCAGAATTGAGATTCTGGAACGTGCATTTGATGAGTGCGGGTCCCTTCTTGAAAATACAAGGCAGCTATGGAAAAGAAGTATGATGAGTGTTATTTCTTGGCTCCGTCCGGAAGTTATGACCTCGGAATTTAGATATGGATATGATACTGTAGGAAATATGGATATTGAAACACCTCTTGTCGCTGATGATGAATCTTCTGCTTCAATAAAACAAATTAGGTTTGAGGTTTCCAGCTTTTATGAAGCTATTAAGCCGTCAACGTGAGTATTGACGAGAAGTTGACTTTCCTTTATTGATGTTTTTGACTCTATCTTTTGTAGTATGTCTGTAGTGGGACTCATTTGATTGTTTTCTACAACAGGGAGGAGCCAATGCTGGAAGATCACCTTCCTGACTTGCTTCCTGAACTGCGGCCTTACCAACGTCGAGCGGCGTATTGGATGATAAAACGAGAGAGATGTGATTTTGAACATTTAGATGGAATTGAGACAAGTTGGGCTGTGGCTCCTTTATGTGTGCCTCTAAATCTGATCAACACCTCCGGGAGAATTTATTACAACCCTTTTAGGTACGCCTTCACCTTTTTCTAATCACATTTTCATGTATCTTCATTTTTACATGAAAAGAGTTTCTTCAGTTTTTTTGAACTTCTGATTTATGTGGAACATACATTTCTAATGATCAAAGATGTGAACCTATGTAAGGTTTTGGTGCAAAAATGTGCTAGATGTGGGGTTTTCTCATCAATAGGTGTATATTGGCAGATTTTATGTGGTACTCTTACAATTTAGTTTTAGATGTTGCATGCTTTCCTTGCTTCTCTGTCTGAGTATGCCTCTTTAAAGCAAGAAAGTGATTCGGCAAGCATTTCTATGTTTAGATGTAGTGCTGCTTCCATATTCTTATTTTATTTGTGAAATTAAGAAAAATTTGTTGATTTTCATCCAGCGATTCAGTCTAACCAATCCTGCACTGCAGACTTCTGCATTATTATCATAATGTTGGTTGCTTGAATCTTTGCACACCAGTGATTGTGAGAGTATAAAGAATACTAATTTGTTGTAGTTCAAGGGGTCATAGAAAGATTTTTCACAAAAAGATGATAGGAAAAGGTGATCATTAAAATGTATCAGGGAATCGATATTTATGTTCATATCCCCTTTTTTTTGCCTCGTCTGCGGAATCCAATAAACAAAAGAGTATATCTGTTAATGAATGTTTTATTATGCTTCAGTGGGAACATTTCACTGCATGCTGCTCATTGTTCCTCGTATGTTCCTGGTGGAATTCTAGCTGGTATGTGAACTTTCTCAACTACTGTTACCACAATTAGGTCATGCTTTGTCGGTTCAGTCATAAGGTACTTCTGGATTTGTAATTTTTCGTCTTTGGAGTAGAAAATGTGTACACTGCTTGTAAAGAGTTGTTGTTTGCACTGTTGATGAGTTATTGTAATAGCACACACACACACACACACACACACACACATATAATATTGAGAAACATTTCTCTGCCGTTTGTGGTTATAATATAAAGAGTATAACTTTTCTACAAAAACTAAACCATGATTCATTCCGGTGTTGTCTTACATTGATTTTTTTTTTTGGTGGAAAAAAAGATCAAATTAATGTGCTAATTCTTGTTGTTATGTTGCTCTGGAAAAAAAAAATAGATGAGATGGGCCTGGGGAAAACTATTGAACTGCTATGCTGTGTTTTTGCTCATCGGATGCCATCGTCTGAAGTTGCTAGTGGTTTTGAGGCAATGGAAGTCGAGAGGACTCAAAAAGTTAATTTGAAAAGACTGAAAAGGGAGCGGGTTGAGTGCATATGTGGAGCTGTAACTGATAGCTATAGATATGGAGGTCTGTGGGTGCAGTGTGATTTTTGTGACGCTTGGCAACATGCAGATTGTGTTGGGTATTCTCTGGAAAGAAAGACTCCTAAATTGGGAGGAGAGACATGTGAGGAGCACTCAGTTGGAAACTCACGGAAGAATAAAAGAAGAAAGACTGATAGTGAAGTGATTGAGATGAATGATGACTATATATGTCAGACATGCTCAGAGCTGTTTCAGGCAACAGAATCTCCAATTGCTGCCGGTGGAACTCTTATTGTTTGTCCAACTCCCATATTGCTCCAGTGGCATGCTGAAATTCTTCGGTAACTCATTTGTGCTTTTCTTGCACATGCATTTATTTGCAGTCTGTTGAACAATTTATTTGCAGTCTGTTGAACAATTTAACCTAAACCCGTATTTCAACTTTTGAGTAAAGTACTTCACCATATGCTTTGTCTTGATATAACTTTTCCTGAATACTTGGAGTGGTGATCCACCAGCTGCTGTGGCTATTTTAACCTCCTTTTTTTATTTAATTTGGAAAAAAGTCCATAATACATCTAGCAAGCGTGTTCATTTTATTTGAAAAGCAATAGCTATCGATAAAGATGTGTAGATAGATACCTCTTGGTGGATATACGCTGTCACTTGTTTTAATAAATCATAGAATATATTTTTTGTGAAATTATATTTGTTTACGGTTTCTCTCATTTGCTTCCACTGTGGATGGGATGTCAGTGTGTTTTGTACAGAAACTACGGAACTTGTAATTGGAAAATGAATAATTCTGAAGAATTAATGAAACCACGTCGTAAGAGAGAGAAATAATTATGTATGTTTGTTGATTGTTTTGCATTATTTTATTTATGCCCACTTTTGTCATACCTTGTTTTGATTCCTTTTTGCTTATGTTCAAATTTCTGATCTTACTGTCTTAACAGCCATACAAGACCTGGCTCTTTAAGAATATGTGTCTATGAAGGAGTTCGACAGACTTCCTTCTCCGATGAACCCGTCATTGATATCGAAGAACTTCTAAAGGCTGATATTGTCTTGACAACTTATGACGTGCTTAAAGAGGATTTGCCGCATGATTCTGAAAGATATGAAGGGGATCGGCGCTTTATGAGATATCGGAAAAGGTACTGATCTGACATAGACCTTGCTTTTGCATAATTTGGAAGTTAAAAGGCTGAGCCTGTCTTGTACTCAACAACAAAATATTTACTCTGAATGTATAGCAAGAGCTTAATTATAAGTTCGAAAATCCAGTTATCGTGGAAACATGTTGTGACTCACTGAATTTTACACAAGATATGTGAACAATGTTGTCCGACATGATTCATTGACCAAGCTGAACTCTCTATTTTGTTCACATTTTAGTTTTTCTTATCTTCTATTGATGCTTCATTAAAGTACACATATACATGATACAATATACAATATATACAGATATGTATCATCTCCTTATGCACGCGTCATACAGTTTTGACATTTGTGGAAACTGTTCAATGCTGTAATAAACAACATTGAGGATGTTCACAGTGGATACCATTTTTATCTGGACATGTTACAGAACTCAGGACAATAAGATCTGAAAATCCTTTTGTTTCTTCATTTGGTTTCCTTTCCCTGTTCCTCTTCTTCCCAAACTATCGTACCACGGGCTTTTCTCGGATGATGGCCATAAACTACTAGTCCTCGAGCATTCAATGATCAGACATTGATTATTTCTTAGGAATGGTGTTAGTGGTTTATTGATGATTAGGGTGATTCAGCCCTTTATTAGCTGTAAATACCACTTCCTTTTGGAAATTATAGTTTTGCAAGTACACAATATGTTGGAGAATGTCTTGCTATGAATATTTTGATACACGGTCATCATCATTAGCTAATTAGATTGAACTGCTGATGACCTTTTAGTCTATTTAGAGCTCTGACAAAATTAAGTATTCCTTTTTCAACTTAAGAATGTGTAAATTTGTATTGGTTAGGGTCTTCTCTATTGTGACACTTCTCTGGTAATCTGGTTTATGTTATAGATACCCAGTTGTTCCAACTCTTCTAACCAGAATCATTTGGTGGAGAATATGTTTGGATGAAGCTCAAATGGTGGAGGGTAATGCTGCTGCTGCAACAGAATTGGCACTACGTCTACATGCAAAACATCGCTGGTGTATAACAGGGACTCCCATACAACGGAAACTTGACGACCTTTATGGGCTTCTGAGATTTCTTCAAGCAAGCCCGTTCAATGTCCTCCGTTGGTGGATTGACGTTATTTCTAATCCATATGAGGTATAGAAATATTGCAGTCCTGATTCTTGTTCAATTTGTAAATCTTGAATATTACATATCTTCTAAAAAGTAATGGCTCATGTAGGAAGCCTTGATCTGTTCAGTACTTGCTCGTTGGCACTAATTTTTTACGAGAATTTGGAACTTGTGGTTTAGTCATTATTTCAGTAGTTTTAGGTATAAAAATATATATTTGGAAGAATCTCACTTGTGATATGATGTACACGTGACTTGAGTTGTTGCTGGAGCATTATGACATTACTGTATTGTACAGTTTTCCAGTTTCTTGCATCAGAAATGTAGAACTTCACGGTGTGAACCTTGCTACTGTAAACTTGAGAGAAATGATTGCTCAGATTTATTTCACGAAACACTCGGTTACTCGCCTGCTCATGGGTTGATGTCTAACTGTATACGCTCTTACGCTTGTCCTTATTTCAATATTAATTTGGTTTGGATGTAGTGGTAATGTTGTAATTCTTGAGATCTTTTTTTAAAGATACATGACAGTTTGAATGTTAAGGTCAAGAATAGCGGTGGTTCTGATGTGATGGGTGTGCAGAGTGGTTTGAGTCATTGGAATTAGTGAAATAAAAATGAGGTTAGCATTTTGTTTGTCTAAGAATTTATGTGTAGCATGTAGGAGAAAATATATAATAAAATGAATCAGACATTCTTTTTAACTCATCTTTATTGTTACTTATGCTTGTGTGATGGATGTCTCCTGGGCCTTCAGTTATGCTGGTTGTGCTTGTGATCTTGTAGGTACCTTTTACTCTTGATTGACTGCTTTGAAAATCTGGAAAGTTAATACTGCACACTTTCCTGCCTGATGTTGCAGAGGGGAGATGTACGAGCTATGACTTTCACGCATAACTTCTTTAAGAAAATTATGTGGCGCTCCTCGAAGGCTCATGTTTCGGATGAACTGCAACTTCCTCCCCAGGAAGAAGGTGTTTCTTGGCTCACTCTGTCACCCATTGAACAGCACTTCTACCAGAGACAACATGAGACTTGTGTGGATGATGCTCGAGAAGTAGTTGAAAACTTTAAAAAAGCAGGTTTCTGGATAAATTCACATCATCCCATATGATTTGTGACTGTAAACTATATAAGATGTGATCTTCAGCAATATACAGATTTCTTCCCGCTTCGAGTATCCATAATGTCATTTAATGTTCTTTCTCAGATTCCGTGTCCGATATCTCATTTGATCCTTATGTCACCAATGTGGATGCTGCAAAGCTGTTTAACTCCCTCTTAAAGCTTCGCCAAGCGTGCTGCCATCCTCAAGTGGGAAGTTCTGGATTACGTACTTTGCAGAAGTCTCCCATGACCATGGAGGAGATATTATCGGTGGGTTTATAGTTGGTGTCTGAGTACAAAACTATTGTTTTTGCCATTTGCTTCAACAGTTTGTTGTCTGCTGTTTCCTTTAATTATGATCTTATTCCTGCAGGTTCTTATTGGAAAGACCAAGGTAGAAGGCGAGGATGCCCTTAGAAAATTAGTCGTCGCGTTAAATGGACTTGCGGGCATAGCCATAATCAAGCAAGATTTTTCTCAAGCGGTATCTTTGTACAAGGAGGCACTTGATTTGGCTGAAGGGCACTCGGGCGATTTCAGATTGGATCCTCTGTTGAACATTCACATTCATCATAATCTTGCTGAAGCACTACCACTCAGCGACAATATCTTGCCACAGGAATCTATTTCCAGAATTGAGAAATTAATATCTGGGACTTGTGACGAAAAGGATAATCATGCTGCCAAGGGTGATTCACCTACTTCTTCATCATGCTTGTTGAGCAATGGTGATTCAAGTTGCAATGTTCAGCAGCATGTGTCGACTTGTGTTCAATGCTTACAACGGGCATGTGAAGAGCTAAAACACAAGTTCTTGTCTATATTTACATCAAAGCTATTCGCTGCTCAGGCGGAGTTCAGGAGAATTTATGAACAGGTTTCTCTAGCTATTTCAAAATTGCAGTTCTTGATTATGATATTTCATTTTGTGGTCCTCTCCTATTTGTTTGCTGTATTCATTATTGAATTTCACATGGTACATTTTGAACTTCTCTTGGTACTATATCAGCATTGAAGATTCTCATTATGCAGCACAGTTTGGTGCATTTAAGGCAAGTTGACATGTTTTATGTGGATTGACATTACTCACTTAGTTAGGAACTCAGAAGTGTTGAACAAGCATGCATATATATTTTGTGCTCTTATCGTCATTAGAATTTAATCTGCGTGCAACTTTATTGTTTTATTTTCTCTGCGATTATTTTTTGCGTCAGTCGTCTTGTCTGCATATAGTTTTAACATTTTATATGGTTGTTAGTTTTCTCTGGACTGAGATTCTCTCTCTCAGGTTCATGATTATTTGACAGAAAGGGAAAATCAGAGCGCAACTTGGTGGTTAGATGCCCTGCATCACATTGAGCAAGACAATGATTCATCTAATGCCCTGATACAGAAAATAGGAGAATCTCTTTCTAGCAACTTGGACAAGAGATCTAGAATTCCTTCCTGGTTAGTGATGGCTGCTTTCTGCTTTCAAAGTACTCCCATCGTAATTGCTTCCTCTGTGCTAGTTCAGTTTGAAATATCATTTCGGTTAGGAATTTTTTTGTCCGTGATGATTGATTATGAAGTTAACAGTTGCGTGGGTTTGTTCTGTATTTGTCACTTGTGCTCATGTTTTTGGGTTGTGTATCAAGTGGTTACAAATTTGCATTTGAACAAGCATTTAAAGCTCCTACGATTTTTCAAATTGGTGAGGTAATTCCAAGTACCCACCATTTAAATTTGTCTTTCATATAAAAAATCTATCAATTTCCTTTTTTACTTTTTCTTCACCAGAAATA